GCTGCCAGGAACGGCTGGTGAATACAGCTGCCTCAAAGGGACCACGGGGAACCCGCTGCTGACGTTGGCTCTGGATGACAGCAGCCACGTATGGGACGCAGGAGAGGGGGGCAGGCCGTGCAGATGGTGCAGAGGGGCTGTGCCGCGGGGTGGGCGCAGGCGCCGGGTGCATCCCAGGACCAGAGAGCCCAGGCTTTGCCAGGGTGAAACGCCCAGCCTGACGAGAGCCACCGAAGGAACTGGTGTGCAGGGCAGGATGGTGAGGCCCTGCCAGGCTGCGTCCCAGCACCAGCACCCCCGTGCCCCCCATACCCCACAGCTGGAGACAGCGGCACAGCAAGAGCAGCCCTTCCTAGCAAGCACGAAAGCGCCGTGCAGCTCTGGTCCTAGCTGGCCACAGCCCACGACCCGTGGAGGAGCCCGGGCCACAAGCGCAGCCTGGGACAGCCTGACGGGGCGCTGGTGCAGCAGGTGCCACAAGCAGGGGTCGGGGATCAGGGAGATGGCAGGGGCAGGGGGCCCGGGTACAGCTGGCATCGGGGCAGGATCCAGACCAGCATCACTAGCCAGGGTCTGACGCAGGCAGCCGTGGCTGTGTGGGACGGGGATGTTGGCAAGGGCCAGGCTGAGCCAGCAGCCAGTCTGCCCCTGTGCCCAACAGCGCCTCATCCCCAGCGATGTTGTGATGTCAGCTGCCCTGTGCGTGAGGTCATCAATGATGCTGTGAGTCAAGGCTGACCCAAAGCTCCTCTGCAAGGACCTGGGGCAGACTGAGCACCATGCCCAGGGGGCACAGGCAGCAGGTGCCACTGCCCCGTGCCAGGCTCCCACCATCCTGCCATTGCAGGAGCCCACGAGGACCAGCCGGAGGAGGGGGCGCTCCAGAGGGACTGGCCCCTCTGCAGCTGCCCGCGTAGGAGAGGGGGTCTCCCTGGTGCTGTAGCCGCTGGCACCAACTCTGGGGCCACGGGATCCTTCCTCCTCCCCCCCAGCTCTGCCCAGAGCTCCTTGGCCCCACTGGGGTCTTGCGGCAAGGCAAGGGGGTGCCAGGACCTGTGTGCAGCAGCCTCCTGTGCTGGGGCCCAGCACCTGTGTGCAAGTGGCGGGGACAGGCCACTGCTGCTCTCCCAGGGCCCAGGAGGAGCCGGCTCCATGGGCTCTTTCCGCCAGGGCTACAGCACCTGCCCAGTGCTGCTGGCTGTGCACTGGCAGGGCACCGCTGTGTGGAAGCTCGCA